CTGAGACTGAGACGGGTGTTGTGTTTGGGTCTGTCCCCAGCAAAGAAAATAACGATGGCGGTTTTAATTTTAGCTCCCCTTGATGCCAACCTGCAAAGCGCAACCTCAAAAATGGGAAGTTGTCGACAGTATGAGCCCTCCAAAAGGCTAGCGTCATGTAAGTTTGTTTGTTAAGTCTTGTGCCGTGACTTTACGAAGGGTCCCCAGCTCTGACATGCTCCCATACCAGCCTAAAGGGGGCATCCCTATCGCTTGCCAGGTTGGTGCCGCGCCCCATAGCGTGCACACCTAGCCTAGTGTTTGTGAATCCAGAGGGCAGAACTCATGGTCTTGCAGTGAAAAGCAGGCCAAGGCCTGCCAGGACCTCTCGGTGAGATGCTTTGTTGCTGGTAGCTCTCATGTCATCCAGCCGCACATTTGCGAGTGACACTGTTACAGTCATTTGTAGGGTTGCCCTTTAAACCAACCTGAAAAGGGAACATTCACCTCACTCCCATTTGACAGGACCCGAAAAAGTGCCGCAAAACGTTTGTGGCAAGTAGCCGAAGGATTCCTGCTGACCAACGCCTCATGGCAGGCAGATGCGGCAGCTGTCTTGAGCGCTCACCCCGGCAATCAGAGCTCCTTGCTGGCTGCTTCGGTGGCAGATAGTAGTCAGCAAATGCACCAGAACCCATTATAGAGGGACTTCGGTCGAATTATGAAGTCTTCTCGCGAACATGGCCTTGCAGGTTGCAAACTGAAGGGTCCAGGTCTTGGGGCAAACCCGGTTTCAGCAAGCCGTCATGCATCAAGAGTTGGCGCTGATTGTCAGAGGCCTCCCTTTTGTCCGTGTTCATTCTGGCTCGTTCCATGCCAATCCTTAATTCTTCTGCGAGATGGTAGTGGTTGCCCTCATTGATAGTGGTTGCTTTTATTGTAGTGGGGTGCTACCCCTACCCGTGGAGTTGCTGACGGCAACGCCTCAGGTGGGCGTTGGAATCGGCATGGCCACGCTCTTCCTCGTAGGATCTGCTTGTGCTGGCCTCTTCCTTGCGCTGAAGAGCAAGAGGCCAACGGGTGGTTACGCAGTTGTACCAATGGGCCGGACCACCCCCTCCTAGGAATGTGCCAAGGTACGTTTGAGATATATAGAAGGGACCGGTTGGAGCTCAGACCTGTGTAAACAGGGGCCCCTTTGCCAAGTCAACGTTCAGACGCAGATGCACAGATACACGATGACAGCAAGAGGAGCTTTTGAAGCATGTCACCTCGCTGGTTAGAAGGAAGAAGTAGGCTCCCCAAGCCAATCACATCCCATCCGACAGGCCCAAGAAGAGGCTCCTGGACCCCGAGGTGCTGGCATCGGGCATGTTGCTGCTTTGGAGGGCTCAAGTTGGGCCGACCCATGTGAAACCTGAAAACTGAACCTTTCAAGCGCCAAGCGTCTTCGGAGTCGGCAGATGTTCGCCGGGGGCAGCAGTAGGTTTCACACAACCTTGTGACAAAGCTGGTGGCGGGGGCTTCTCACAGGCTGAGGATGAAAAGATGCCGCTGGTGACAGCGGAGGCATGCTGGGGGTGCATCGACTGACGGATGGCGCAATTGTGTAAGGAAGATAAGGCTGCACACATCACGAGGAGTATCAAAAGAGGGCGTTGGGCATTGTTTGGCTGGTTCTCCTAAGCTCTGCTTCACTCAAACAATATCGAAGACAGCGGTGCCATCTACCGTTTAAAGCCTCACACAAGCCTGGGAGAATAGAAGAGGAAAGTTTTATGCCAGCCCCAACATGGGAAGCATTTCTTTTGCACAAACCAAATTCAGATGATGGCTATTAGTAACGCCACACGCGGCGGACCACTTTGGTACCCTGACCCTGGTGTTATCTCTTGTGGCACCTTCAAGGAGAGGGAGTCATATGTTTCAGGCTCCGCCCCCGCTGCCAGACGGGGTGCTGCCGGGCTCCGCCGTGGAGACTTGGATTTGGGTGCTTGCGATTCTTGGAGGGGGAACGATGGGGAATAATTTCACCCTGATACGTTCCTTGATTCCTTTTGACTTCTAACAAAGACGAAAGGCTGAAGCTTGGTCTGATTTGTTGGGTCCGGCCAACTCAGCACATCAGGACCGGGCGGTGTACCGTTTGGAGACGCGGTCCTTCGGGACGCTGCCCGGCGCTGGCCGGGCCCCTTCATCGAGAGCGGACGGGGGGGGATGCAAGACGACATAGGTCGTGAAGGATTGGTGCATTGGGAAGCTGAGTAACCGGCCAAACGCGAAGGATTCCCTTTACAATGGAACGCCACCCCTATTAATCAACCCCATCCGGGTCAACATTTTCCATCCACCTTTGGAAGATCGCTTCAGTGGCGGTTTGCTTCAATGTTCAACATCCACCTGGACGTTGCTCCTTGAGGTGCCAGCCGATCGCTGGATTTGCCTTCTGGCAGCCTGGCCAGTCGCCCAGGCTGGGGCCCAGAAGGGAAAGCCGATGTGCACCACATGCGCCGAATTTGGACCTACAGGAGTTGGGGTCCAGCCCAGCACCTCTTGGACCTACTGGCCTTTTGACAAGTGTCAGTGCACACTTATCATGAGTTGCATCATGGTCCCAGACCCTCCAGGTGGGAGTCGTTTGTTCAACCTTCTAGCTGAGATTGAGCAATTTACACCTTTCACCTGTTCAGGGCTGGACGCTTGAAACATGGGAAGGTGATAGGCCCCCAGCGGCTGCATGTCCTTTGCCTAGACGTTTCGACTGACGCACATGTGGCACCAGACCTTTCAAGGAGGGCTGGTTAGTTCCACGACTGTCTATTCACCAGTTGTCATGGCGGCACGAGCATGCACAGAGTCAAGGTTGCCTGTGGCCCGGCGAGCACGGTGTTTATTTGTTTTCATGTAAAATTGTAGTTTTAGATTGTGGGCTGACCTTGGTACAACGAGAATGGCTAGACGGTCGTCCTGCAGTCAGCGATCACGGCAGAATATGTGAGTTGTTTTTCTGCAGCTTTCGCACTTGTACTTCCGCTTTGTGGTTTTCTAGGGGTTGATTCCCCATTCTTTTCAACCATCGTTCTTTTCAAAAGCCAGCTGTTTCCCTTGGTTTTTGATTGTTCCCTGAAAAGAAGGATCCCTGGAAAGAATGGGGAAGGTACCCCTAGAGGTTTGTTATTTTTCATCTCCTGCCAGATTTGACAAGCTCACGGCCCAAAGAGATCTCCTACGAGGAGCCGGAGATGCGTCCCTATAGCTCGTGCAGAGATGGCCCTGCCGACCCGCAACACGGAGCGCGAAGAAGGGGGTGCCTCAAAAGGCTCCAAGAACAATAGTAATGTTTCGCCGGGTTGAATGTTAGCAGGGGAGCATCACCTTGAGGCCACCTGTTTTGGGACGGAGAGCCACTTGTCTCTTACGCGCACAGGAGTGGTCGCGGTCCTGGCTGCCTGGACAGCCCAAGCAGGTAATCTTTGAGGCAGGGCAATTGCCTTTGCAACAAGGATATCTGTCGAAAGGGCCCTGCCCAGCTTCCCGCCTCCCACCATGACCTTGGAGAGAAAAAGGCGCCACGATTCTTTGGCGTTGGCTTTGCATGAAGAGCGTGAGCTCACAAATGAAGGTGCCTCAATGGGGGATCTCTTGATTCAAGCTTTGCAATCCACGACGAAGTTTTCAAGTAAAAGGCTTGCCGGATGAGTGGACAGATATTTGGGTAGGGGCGCGAGGGTTGTTGGCTGGGTTAGGGGGGAGGGGGGAATGTTGGCTGGAGAGAAAGTCGATCCGTATTTGGTGGTGTTAGTTGACTGTGCAACGTGCTAGCAGGTGCCGCCTGGCGCGAAACCTGGTGCTGCACTCGCAGTGGAGGCAGGAAACATAGGGCCCGGGCATTGGCCAGAGATGGGGTGCGAAGTGCATGGGGTGCGGGTTCCTTTCGACACCCTTAGAAGAACCGTGCAAGAAAGGGTCCCTATGCCTGGCTCCCAGTGCAGCAAAATTCAATAAAATTCAGCCTCAAGGATGTTGTAAAGGGAAGTCCCAGACATTTGCTCCATATTGACGGGCGTGTCCTTCGCTGCAGGGGGGGCTGCTTTAGCCTTGAATCCATGTTGAACTAAACAAACCCCTTTTTATCCTGTAAGTGTTCAAGGAAAACGGATAACTACCCTTTTTCAGGGACTCGGGCCCCTTTGAGGCAAGCCCACGTGCAGCCCATCCATTTGTCGCTCGCAGGTGGCACCAGGGCTGATGATGGCCACTGAAGCGCCGCCAGGTGTCGGCTGCAACGGAGGGTTCGCAGCTCCCTTGGGCCAACTTAAGTGATTGCGGCTCCAATTATAGCTTACCCTGCAGCCTGAGGGTCACTTATTTCATTCTCAGCCATCTTTCGAGAAGCAGCTGCCTTCTGGTTTCTGAGGGCGGTGTCAGATCAAAGTGGTTTACCGTGGAAGGCTTCGTTGCTTCCAGGTGCCTACCCTGGTGCCTTGGCGCGGGTGCAGCGGTGATGCCGCCCAAAGTCCGACAGCTGACATGGGGCCAGTTGACTGGGCCCAGGCCCTTGCCATGCACTGGCCACGTTGTTTGTTGTGCAATGGATACACACATATTTCATGATTTTTCCCACTGGATTGCTGTAGGTTCCCACTGTCACCCGGCAAGAAAGCAGGCACCCACCACCCTAAATTATCATACACGAATCCCATATCCACCCCAAGCCTGGCCATCCCGCACCCCAAGCCCATCCATAAGCTCAGACAAGCCCACCTAAAGTGGACCCTGGGCAATATTGGGCCCATTTCGTCTTGCAGCACCTTCAAAAGGATGCGGTTGCCATGAGGCACGGACGAGAAGCGGAGCCATGTCGCAGAAACATGATCCTGCCATGTTCGCCACGAGGCTTTTTGCCGTTGGTCTGCAGGTAGCACTGTGCCATCCAACTCAGGCTTGCTTGCCTGCTGCAATTGAAGAGCCAACGCACAGTTGGCCGTCTCAAGTTCCTGGCCCTTCGTCCGCTTTGCGCCATGGCGACTCTCGGCTTCCTGCTTGTGCTGGCCGCTGCCAGCGATGATGTGGAGGCTGAGCTGGAGTCCCCCAAGCTCAGCTGCTTCCGGCGAGGCGCCGGACGCAGAACTTGATGTTCATAGGCTACGTGCAAGAGCCATGTCATGCCATGTCATGCCATGTCTATCATGGAATTGCCCAAGCCGTGCGCCCACTTTATCTTGGATGGAAAAGGGACCCCAAGTCAACCGACGGAGCCCTCTGCTTCTGCCACAGCTTGATCCAAAGGCTTGTCATGCTAAACTGGGCTTTGAAGGCGTGGCGTGCCTTTTCAGCAGGTTGGGGCTATGAGGACTCTTGGCACAAGGACCTCAACGGCGGCTTTGTGGCCAATGCAGAGACCTGCCAGGCCTGAGCCTGGGAGCCATAGGTGGCTTCGCTGGATTCCCTCAGGAAAACGACAAATCGTTTGCTTCTTAAAGTCAATGCGCTGTTTAGCAAACATTTTGAGCAGTCGGCTGCCTGGCCAGGAAACCTGCGATCACATGTGGTTCTGTGACGTACGCACCTTAGCCTGGTCGCAGCCAGGACCCTGGGGTGCGATTTCCCCAAATCCAAGCTGATGTCCATTGGATTTGACTCACAAGTCGTGGGTTTTGCCAGTTTCACACTGAGCTCCATGGCTATTTCTAGGAACGTGATGGCCACAAAATAGGCCTAAACCTCTCTTGATGGGACACTAGTATTGATAAGGTCTCCCACGTCTCAGAATCCACTGCCTGACCCATTTGTGAGGTCTTCACCTATTACGAGGACACGAAAAAGTGCTTCCTCCAAGGCCACTGACTCCGCATGAGGAGATTTCAGCGCATCGGTCGGAGGCCTTAAGGTTTGGCAGGCCATGCCCATAGGTGCGTGCTACTCATCCAGCTGGGTTCTTCACGCACTCGGCCATACTTTGCGGGTAGGGGTCGGACTGCGCAAGACTGCGCAATGCTTTCGCAGTTTGCGATCTTGGCCAGGCAACCAAGCCATTGAGATGGTGAAGACAACAGCCATCAGCGGCCCCAAGACGCATTGCCCTCAGCCACCGCGGCGCTCGAAATGTTTGACGTGAAGGGACGCCGTCATACCGACAATTGAGGAATTTCAATTGTGGCCGCTTATCCCTTGTTTGCCTTGTGCGTCTATTTTGGGCAACCTATCGAACAAATGACAGCGATGCTTGGGGTTTAGAAGGGACCGACTTGGCAAAGTTTCGTGCAAGTTGCTGGATGTTCGGTGTTCCTTGGAAAACGCAGGGGGCTGAGTATGGCATGATGCTGGCATGACCGAGCCATTGAGAACTTTGTAGATGCACAATATGTATAATATATATATATATGTTTATGTATATGTATTCGGCGTGTCGTCACGCTGCGCATTGAGGGCAGGGTATGGCCCTTTCACTCCTTTCAGCATGGCCGGCAGTACAAGAATTGGGGCAGGGGCAATTGCAGCGATTGCAACAGCTTCGACATCCCGGTGAATAGCGCAATCCGTCCACGAACGGTCGATGAAGGGGCAACTCTTTCGCCACTCCTACTACTACAACTACCGCCAACACTGCTGCTGCGGATGCACACCACCGCTACTAGTACCACAGCTGCTCGTGCCCACCGCACCGCTACCACATGCTGCCACCTCCGCCACTGCTACGACGACGACAACGACGACGACTACTACCACTACTGCGGCGACTACCAGTACCACCACCACCACTACTGCAACTTTCTATTCTGCAATTGCCTGCTGCTGTTGCTACAGCTACTTGTGGTATATTCTAGTATTTTCTAGTGTTGCTGCAAGGTCTTCTAATGCTGCCGCTGTTGCAACTGCTACGGTAGTTAGCATGACAGCCCCTACTAGTTTCGCGCAGCATATGTTTGACTTTCAAACCAAGTCGTGAAGCGCGCTTCGCGAACTACTCCTGCACTGATCATTTATGACTCTTAAAGCTGAGGCTGCAGACAATCCTAACAAACCACGCAACCGGGAAAATGATAGAGCGGCTCAAGTGGTTCCACTGTCAAATTTTGTGACGCGGTTACTGGGTGCCCCTTTTGGGGCTCACTGCAGCTGAAAACCAGCCTTTGCGCAGGAACTATTGAGGCCGCTGGCTCACATGCCCAGTCCCATACCAGACATGTTGGCCACGCCCACCTGTTGAACAAGCACGATGAGATGGAAGGTCTTGGCCACATTGGCTCATGAAGCATGACGAGATGCGGGCATGTCCTTTCACAAAGACATGCAGCAGTCGACCGGGGAGGCTAGATCCATGTCCGAGCGTCCTACGGCCTTGTGAGGTGCTCAGCCACCTCCTTGTCCGAAGCTCTGAAGATGGTGAAGCACGCGGGCTGGTCTGCGGCCAAGGGCGCGCAGGCAGGGACACGCATGACGCGCGGTGAAGGGTTTGTCAGCCCTTCGAAAGCCAGGTGTTCGTTTTGAAAGATCCAATTTCAGGAAAGTTCTTGGGTCAGTCCATGCTTCGCGCTGCAAACGCATGTGGTGGAGAAGTAGCACTGCAAGCCAGTTCTGATGCTGATGGCTGGTGTCAAACAGCTTCAAGATTGTCGGCTTTGGTGATATTTGCTTGAGGAGTGCGAGGCATACTACACATCATTCGCATGTAGACCCCCTGTCGATGTTGGCAAAAGAGGAGGTTAGTGGTAAGAACCACGTCTCAAGGCAAGCGCCAACTTCCTGAGCTCGAAGTCCAAGGTGACTGCCCGCAAATGGCCGCTTCTGATGGGATGGGACTTCAAAGCAACCCCCCCATTCGTCCAGCGAAAGCATCCTGAGTCAGACGTGGGTCGCTTTGCAAACGGGGGAGGCAGAGGCTATGAACCTGCAGCAGATCAAGATCGCAGGGGTGCAGGCGGTGCAGCAGAATGGCGCCACAGTCTCAGCCTGCAGATGGGGATGGAAAGACGGCGACAAGCCGACAATCCGTTTGGTGTGTTTGTTTGTTTGATTGCCTGATTGTTTTATTGTTTGTTATTTTTCAGGATGGGTGAGCAAGCTCACCCCTCCACAGTTGTTTGTTTCCCGTTTCTTGTGGGAGCCTATGCGGCTCCATGCATGGTCAAACATGCAGTTCTTGTAGTAGGGGGCCTCCTGTTTGACAGGGGGCAAAATGGGGATCGCGGGTTTACAAATCAGAGGGGATGCCCGAAAATTGAGCCACTCCAAGGGAAAACCAGATATGTTTGGATTGGTTTGGAGACTCCGAGACGGACATTGAGGAAATGGGGCGAAGGGTGTGGGGGGTGCATCAATGTCATACTGGTTGTGGTTGCGCTTTAACGGGCAGCTAGCAAGCTTGGCATTCTACCCTTGTCAACTCGGACACCCACCTGCCTGCGACAGTATGCCCAGCGCGTGGACATAGAAAACCTTGTTTGGCTTCCAGGTGAAGCTGGGCTTGTCCAACACGCAGAAGGCGCCATGGATTTTCCAGCATGCCTGGCAGAAACAGTGCAGTACATTTTCCTGAGATTCCTGTTTGCTTGCTTCTTGGCTCGGGGCATGCGTTTAAGCATGCCATTGCCAGGCGCAAGTCACTGCGGGGGTCGTCGGCATGATCGCAGCAGTGAAAGCGGCGGGAGATGGCAACAGAGTCTCAACTGACTTTTAGTCATGGTGTTGCCCAAGCGGCCGCTTCTCCTTAGTCGCTTCCTACAAGTGACTGGCTGACTTTCGCGAAAGCTCGAACTAATTCCGGTGCGACCGCGGACGGCCGATGAAAGGGATCAGGGCATCCAACGGCTTGCCTGAGTCATTGAGAGGATGTTCTTCTTTCGACCAAGTAGTTGGGTTCCACCACTTACGGCTGGCCTTCCCACAGCCAGAGCACGGGCATCCTGAAATGGCCAAAGATTTGCTCTAGGTGCTGGGAAAGGGGGCTTTATGCATCATGCCATGGGTCATAGACAACAACTTTTACGGCTGGGCATTTGTGGGCAATTTCTGCGGCACTCTGTGCTGTGTGGTCATCAATAGCCCCGCAAGTTTCTCTTCCCGTGACTGTTGCTCTTGTGGGCAGTGTGTGGCTGGTTGAAAGGGGTGCCTACAGGAAATTGCATGCATTTTGGCGGTCCGCAAATTTTGACATACCCAAATGCCCAAAGGTGGCTTCAAGTTTCTTTCCAAGGTGTGACTCCGCAGCTTGCTGCGGCCTCCTTGTCGGCTGCAGAGTTTGCAGCGGTGAACCACACACTGCCCTATCAGGCGCAGCAGGCGTGGCCGGGGGTCATCGTTCTTGAACGTGCCAAGATGGACTGATAGGCACCTGGCAGTAGTGAATCTCCGATGGACGGGAGAGATGCCTCCAATGGCGATGCCTCTGCACCCTCCGGGCGTTCGCCAGCGTCGAGATGCCAGGCCATGTACGCAGCGGGCTCCGTCGCCGGGGACTTCTCCCTCGCGAGGGAGGAGACCGCCACTTGGCCGGAGGGGAGAGATGGGGCAGTCCACCTTGATGGGGGGCCTCGGCAGCTTGGTGGCCTGTGTCGCCACACTGTCCCCGGCACACAGCATGCCCAATTTGACTAGTTTGGCCCCAAGGCATTGTACGCATCGGGGCACAAAGCCGGCTGGCTTCTTCCAGGTTGCCACCTCAAAAAACATTCAAAGGTTCAACTGTCTTCATTCTCACCCTCGAGAAAACCCCTTCAATGAAACTGACTTCAAATAAGTTGTGTTGGTTGGTGGGCTTAGGGCCCCCCTTTTAAAGTTGAGATTGGCCCCACACTGCCGCAATGCCGGAGCAGCGGTGCGTGTCAGGGAGCGGGGGTGTTTTATCTGGCTGCTTTCTTGCCTTGCTTCGCCACTCGGAGGGAAAAGACAGAGCATGCACTCCCCCCCCCGCCCCCCGCGCCGAGGTCCAGGACCGCTGCGACTACGCGGTGCGCATGGCCTTGGACGCCGCGGACACGGTGAAGGGCAACGGTCTCACCCAGGAGCAGCTCCTTGGCCACCTTGGTTGGCCATGGGGTGGATTTGGAGTTGGGTTTCCTACAGCTTTGCTTACAGGGAGGCCAATGCCAAAAAACACACCGTTTTGTTTCCCCCCTCCTCCCTGTTGTGGCACAGACCCTAAATCAAGCCGCAACATCCGACTGCCAAATGGTAGTATTGATGGTAGATGTTGCTCTTGCCGTCGTCTCATCCCACTACGGATGACGGATTCGGATTAGGGATCCCCACCCATTCTGAGGCAAATCTTGCTTCAGAGCCTGCGGTGTCGTTACTTGCTGACTACCTGCATTTCTGGATCTCTGGCTGGGGTGTTCGCAAAGCATCGTGTTGAGCAAACAAAAATCAGTGTTTGTCTTATGATGAGGGTCCCTGTCAACAGAGCCAGAACCAAGACACTGAAAGAAACGCTCGCCGTGGCTTATCTATGTGCGGCCTTTCCAAGGAAGCATGTTTCAAGCCCTTGCTCTGGCGCTGTGAATTCGCCAAATGAAGCCCTACTGGTGGACAGGCCTTCGTCTTTTGTTGGGAATTGGTGGGTGTTTGAAGATCTTGCTGTTGGGAAAATAGGGGCATTAAACAAGGGTTTCACATGTTTAGGCTTCCTTTCGAATCCCAGAAAGCTTCTCAGAAAACGGTCGGCGAACCCAGGGGGCGGGACTCTTGGTTTCCGCATCTCCCAGACCCTGGCGCTTACTTAGGCAGCTGATCATCGCCGCGCAAGAGGGGGCCTTAGTGGTGGCGGAAGCCGGCGGCACCAAGAAGGCACGGATAAAAACAAGCTTGGGCAAACTTGGGGCCAGGGTGTTACTGGCATTACATTCAGGCATGCACAAAGGCTTAAATCCAGCTGTGTGTTTTGCATTTGCATCCATATGTAAATGCAACTGTGCATGTGCTGCCACATGGTATGTGCAAGTATTTGTATTTTTGTGTCTGGATATGTGCCCCCTCCTGGGTGCCGTGATTGGATTGAGCCTCTCAAATTTAAGCAGATTCTCTAGAGAATGGTTGGTATATAGGTTCAATCATCAGCCACGGAGGGCCTCAACGTTTGGACAGTCCTTTGGTTTTTGCAGGAGGGTTGGCGTTCAGCATGCTCAAACCTTTCCTGTCAGTTTGTGCCCAGACGCCGGTCGAGTTTGAGTCGTGTTTAAGAAACTGATTTTGGATCTTTGCTCGCTTGCGCCTGTCCAAGGGGTCAACCACGTTCCTGCAAGATGCTGTGTAACCAAAAGGGCCCCTGGTGTGCCCATGTGCCCATACCATTTTGGTTTGGCTGCCCTTTCCAATTCAATATGCACGATGGGCCCTTGCATTTAGTCCCTTGTGAAACAGGAGACGTACACTGCGGTGGGCACAGCTCTGCACAAAGTTGCGGAGCTCTACGACCATCCCGAGGACATCCAGGCTCATTTCCTTGTCAGGTACCATTGTCTCAGTTTGAGTGTGTTGCCTGGCTAGGACGTTGGGTGGAAATTGATGTTTGGTCTCATGCGCTACAAATTCACTGGTCGGTGTGCAGGCGGAGTGGCAGGCTGTCGGGGAAGCTGCGGTGGCTTGGACGAGACCAGTTTGGGCAGACGCAAGCCCCCTCCAACCCTCGCCGGCAGAGCCCAGAGCGCGTGCTCTCTGCCCGGATGGGCTTTGGAGTGGTTCGCAGCAGCTTTCCGGGAGGGTTTGGGGTTCCAGGGCGGTTGGGGATAGCAAGGGGTGCTACTTGTGGATTGTGGCCTCAAACCCGCTCAGATTCATGTTTTGTTGCCAGTGGGGGTGCCAACTCAGGCGCTGGATTGGTGGGAGGAGAGTTTCACCAAGGACCGGCTTGGGAAGCAAGGAGCACTGTGCTCCGTCTCTCAATCGATCGATCGATCAATCAGTCAACCAACCAAGCAAGCAATCAATCAGGCAGGCAGGCAGGCAGTCCGTCAGTCCGTCAGTCCGTCAGTCCGTCAGTCAAATAATCAATCAATCAATCAATCAATCAATCAATCAATCAATCAATCAATCAATCAATCAATCAATCAATCAATCAGTCAATCTAGAGGGGTGTGTGCATCCACACAGATGCCAAATTTCCTATAGATTCCCTTTCCCCTTGGTTGTCAAAAGGTTTGAAAACATACCCACCCTCCAACTAACATGGCACCTGTGGGGAGTTGCTTGGAAGATCAATTTTCTTTTGAAGTGACCCCTGTCAGGTGCCATGGGAGGGAGGGTATAGGCCAAAAGCAGGGCCCTCGTGATTTCCACTGGTGGGGACCCCTACGGCGATTGAATACTTCACTACGCCGTTCAGGACGTGGTGGATTCACGTCTAGACTTCAAGGCGGGGAGGGTCATGGGAGCCCTCCGAGCTCCGAAAACATGGTGGGAGGCCAAGGCGTTGACCCAGGCCTGAAAAAAGGCTACACGGCTGGACGAAAGGATTGCTCGAGCTGCCGACAATCAGACTTGGCTTGCCAGGTGCCGCAGCCAATAAGAGTTCTTCACCAAGCCCCCAAGGTTGCAGTGCCGCCTTTTGCCTCGAGCAGGCGATTCTTCAGATCGCGACAGATGCCGCCCACGACGCGGAAGCGAACGGTGCTGGCTGCAGCCTGAGTGCAAGACCCTGGCTACTGTTTTTGATCCTCATGCTTATCAGCAGGTTTCTAGGACAGAGAAAAGCCTGCAAGACGGGTGTGAAAGGCGTTTGTTGGCCCGGCCCCACTCCTGGGCGTCCAACTTTGAGACATCCCTCAAAGCTACTCTCCTGGGATTTCTGTCAGGTGGGGCAACAGCTCCCAGGAGCTTCCACTAGGCTCAGATTCAAAAAGCGGGCTGGCACTGGCAAACAGATGCCTATATATAGTTTTGCTTTGCAGAGTGGGTTTGGTATTCCCGGTGAACGGTATCACCCATGTGTTGGGCTGCCCTGCTCTACCATGGCCAAAGACATGGCCAAAGACATGGCACAGATGGGCCTCGCATGTACCGAGCGGCGACACGTTGCGCCGAGGTCTCAACGACGAGATCCTGGCGGCGGCCCAGGCGGCGCAGGTGGCCTCGGCCGAGCGAGGCTACGAGACGCGAGAGCAGGCGCGCGCAAGGCAAGACTTCAAAGAAAAAGAGCAAGTAATTGCTTGCTCTTTACTATTACTAGAATACAGTACACCGCAATAAATTCGCAAGATGTTTGTGTTCAATCCGTACAATCCACAGGTCAAGTCGCTAGACATCATGCATCATGCTGGCAAGAAGCTTCACGTTGATTCGAGCATATTTGGCGGGCAGGCACGCGAGCCCGGGCACCCAGACGGCTCAGCATCGCCGAAATTCCTGGGTGGGGGTTGGCAATATGACAAGGACCCCAGCGTTGCCGGCCAGTAAATGATCTACATCATGTTTTGCTGGCGACGCTTTTTGCAGGCTCCTTCCACTTTGCGTCAAGGCTCACGGGCATTCTGAGCAATTTGTCCACTTGTTTTTTGCCTTTGCCCGTCTCAATTTCGGTGGCTGCCAAAGCCCGGGCTTGCCCAGGGCCTCCATCGCGGCGGCAGACGTGGCCCGATCCCTGCCAGGCAGGGTCGACCGCCTGTCGCATGCTGAAGCTATTGCATCATTGTTTAAGCGACCTCCTCCTGGTTTCCGGCCTTGTTTGTGCACTCCTTGCCTTTAAACAACCTGACCCGGCCAGGGGACCTGATGACGCGTGCGGACGCCGCCAAATTGGCCGCCGAAAAGGCCGAGCAGTCGAGCCGGTCCACCGCAAAAGGGAGGTTTTCGCGGTCAAACGGTCAAATCAGATGCAATGATGGTTTGAAAGCGACATATTTTGGACGCAAACACGCAAACATGAACTTGGATATCAACAACAGGAGAAGAAAGGGGCCCGGCCATGTTGAAGCGGATTTTGCTGTTGAAGAGCCGTCTTGTAAGGAGGAAATGAAAGATGCCCCTTTTGGATGTGGCCTTTGAAGTGCAACTGGCACCAAGATCCCCAATCCCGCCAAGTAGACTGCTGCCACTGCCCCCGCAAAGTGATGTTACAGATCTCCCTTGGTGGAATTATAGATAGGCGCATCCTAAAATGTGCCTCCAAACGGTGCTTGGTTCAGCATTGGCTTTGGCATTCTGCCTTGCCTTGACCAAGCGCCACTGCCCATGGTTCAAGCCACAGTCCTGCATTTGGCTTGAGGCTCCTGGGAAGCTCTTGCCTATGTTGCTGACCCTCTGGGCGAGGAACACTTACCCTGCTGCCTTCACCTCTCCCTTTTACCTGTCAGAACGTGCGCTGACATGCGCTGACTCTTTCCCGGACACCACTTCACAGAACCAAACCCATCACTTCTGGAGATTGCGCGGAGCACAACCAATGACTTCACCCTCCATCAAGCTGTGTCGAATCCCAGTGGCCAAGTCTTTTTGCCCCCGGCCTTGCCAATGTGTGATTAGATCGCTTCAACATTGCAAGCAGCCCAGTTCTTTGTACAGGGCAACCCAAGCAATTGCCGGGTTTTTTGGCGTTCGCCATGTGTATCTTGGTGGTGGCCCTGCGGTGCCACCCGGGCCTGCCGTTTCTGTGTCTGCACAACCGGGACGAGAACCGACAGCGGCCCTCGTTGGACGACGCCTGGGAGGAGTCCACGCGCTTGTTGTGCGGCCGGGACGCGCTGGCCGGGGGCACCGTGCTGGCGCTGCACAGGAAGGGCACCTTCTGCGCCCTCACCAACTGCCGCTCCAAAGTGCACTGGAAGAAGGACAAAACCTCCAGAGGCAAGGGTGGCAAGATGGAAACACCATTGAGCATTCCGCATGTGGTTCTTCAGCACAAGAGGAGTTGGAGGTGTTGGGCGGCTTCCAAGGTAACAAGAACGAGGGGTTCAAATCCAACCAATCCAAAACGAGGTCTACTGCGATACCAAAGTAGAGCTCTTCTAAGGGTTGATTCCCCATTCTTGTCAGCCATCGTTCTTTTCAAAAAAAACCATTTGCCCATGCAGGGTTTTTGGCTTTCTGGAAAGAAGGATCCCTGGAAAGAAGGGGGAAGTTACCCCTAGACCTCTGCTATTTTGGGACCAGCTTGGCATGCCTCCAAGACGAAACCTGCACTGTTGGCTTTCCCACAAGCACTGAAACGGACATTCCAGGGTTTCACTATCTGGTTTGACGGGTCGCATGTCCAGCAAGTCGTTTTGCCGAGCACAAACCCCGGGTTCCTGCAGGGGGTTCTTGCGCTTCTTTTGGACATGCGCTGCTCATTTGCGAGGGTCTCTTGCAATCGGATCTGGCCCCTTGGATCTGAGAATCTGAGGGCTGCTGGTGGAGCACTTGGCCATGAATGGCTTCGCCGCCGCTGAGGGCTTCCTCCAGGAGCGCCGTATGGACAGCTTCCACGTCGTGGCAGGGGAGGCCTTCGGCGAACATCCGGAGGCGCAAGCTCAGAGAGCGCTCTCCGGGTTTCAGTTAGGCGCTTTCAAAGGCACCTGTACCATCCTGTACCGCTTAAGTGCCAACCACCCCCTAAGTAGTGTTTTAATAAGCGCCAGACATCAGTGACAGATTTCTGTAAGTTTTGTGAAGTATTTGCTCTCTTTTCAGAGGGTTGTTCGATTTCAAGTGACATCCGATCCTCATCCATCTGGGCCGCATGAAAACTGTGGCACTTCCAATTTGGACAGCGGACACGCCTGTGTGGTTGCAGCCTAAGAAGTTTCGCCAAGCAAAATTCCTAGGTGAGGATTACTCGGAGGAAAGTAATGTGTTTTTTCTCCAGCCCTAAGCATGCGAATGTGCGGCCAACATATTCTTGCTTGGCACGGGCCGGCAAATAGGTGAGCGGATCGCAAGACTGGGCCCTTCTTTGTCAGGTCCACTACCTCTGGAGAGCCCCACTGGAAGGTGCCACGCCGTCCGACGACGGCGCGGACTTTGAGTGGCGCTCTGCGCAGAGGCGCCTGGAGCCCGGGGTCTTCGTGGTGTCCAACGAGAGCCTCGGATCATTTGTGTGTTGCAAGCCCCAGGCGATGTTTCCCCGTTTTGGTGGGAATTTGCCGGGTCGAGTAAAGTGAAATCCTCAAACTTATCTTCTAAGCTGTGGAGGCATTTTCAGAACCCCTCCAACTGTTCACTTTAAGGGACCTATGCAGATTGAACCCAAAGCTTGAATTTGTTTTCAGCGGCTATACTCAAAGGCAAAGGACAAAGGGCACTTCCGTGCACAATTTTGGGTTCATCCAGAGGGGCCCTCTACTTTTCCAAAGTTCACCTGAAACTGAAATTAGTTCCCGGTAGGTGGGGTAATGACAAGCAGGGAAAGAAGGCCCCGACCCACCTTCATCAGCCATCAGTAACGGTTCATTTGCATCATCTACCAGGAATCCATTGAACATATATTTTGCCAGCTTCCTGCGCCAGGCTGAACTTGCGACTGGTGCACCATGTATACGTTGCCTCCCCAAAGCCGAAGAACAGCATTCAACAATCAAATCACACACGTATCACTGCAGCAGTCATGCTGAAGCTCACCCGTAGTACTGCTCCTGGATCCGCCGCTGTTGCCACCCTTTGATGGTGTGGATTGCAGGGTTGAACTGCGGTTCCTTTGAAACCAGAGGAAACTCATAGTGCCGCTTTCGAAACCTCCCACCAACTCGGACTGTGGCCATTGGGTTTGGGAGGCCTGTCAAAAGCCGGGCAGCCGAGCTGGTTCAAGCCAGAAAAGGAAGGTTGCCACAACTGGAAGGCGTCATGTCTTGGCCCCAAATTTGTTGAAACTACATCAGCCGGCGAAAGGGCAACGCCACAGAACTCTCCCTGCGACCACCCACACACCACCACTCCCAACTCCCAGCACGCCTGTATTTTGGGTGTACGTTGAGCTTTCCAAAGGGGAGCAGTTTGCGAGTCAAACCTGCGGATGATAGGCCAGAGATTGCTGCCAGCAAGTAAGGAACTTGGCGGTGGGAGACGCCTGGCCGAAGAGCGAGTGGCTGCGGCGACGCCTGGCTGCTCCGATCAAGCCTGGGAGTGCTGAACGACCACATGTTCCTCTAAATCAAAGGGGGCCTTTGGGTGGGTTGATGCTGGAGGGAGGGCGCTTCCTGCAAGGGCAGCGAGAGCATTGCCGGGTGCAAAACGGAGCAAGGCCTCCTACCAAGCTCTCATGGTCTTTTCAGCTGGCTTCTCGAGCTGTTTGTTGGTAATATGTTGGCAGCGGGTTTTCAAGGGCTGAAGAGTGATACATGACCCACATTCTGCTTCACGCACACGTGCGACACTTCTCTTTGGCAGAAGCGATCTACTTGCTAGCGGCCGTTTCCCAGATCCCTACGTTTCCCCTTTCAGCCAGTTTCAGTTTAAGTCACCTTCTGAGCCAAGTTTTGATGAGTTTTCCTAGTGATGTTTTCGGATTTCAGAGGCAAATGTGCAGAACCCGGTTTCTTTTAGGGGAGGTGAGCACGTACCTGCAGCAGCTGCCCGCGGAGTTGCCTTCTGCAGCTGCGCTGCACGCGGACCTCGCGGAGCTCATGTCCCGCTTCGACGTGCCGGGCCTCAAGGAGAAGCTGCCCATACGGGTCCCGGACTTCTTCCCCCCGGAGCAGGAGGTGAAACTGCAGCCTGCCATTCCAGTGAACGGGGGTCTCAAAGTGGCTGGGGCTGGATCTCCTTTCCGATGATGTTTTTTTTTTTTTTTTTAAGAGCTTCATGGTGATCTCTTGCGGGGCAAAATTGCCACAAACACAAAAACTGAGGTTACCGGTTCGGAACCATTTGAAAAGCTGCCGCTCGAGGTTAGCATGATCGGGCCAGCACAGCGAAGCCCCGAAGCCTCGCGCATTTTCTCTGTCTGTAGGCAACCCCCCCCCCGGGTCGTGCAGCTCGCAACATTTGTCGCTACACGGCGCCTCGAAAGCCAACCACTCCGATGCCAACTGTAACACGGCAGTTTTTCCTTAAGAACGGATGCTAAAAAGGCTAGCATTTTGTAAGGAAACTTGCCACATACTAGCACAATGGCCAGAACCAGCTTTTCGGCGGCGCCCCTCGTGCATTGAGCAGTCCCTGCCAGGCTCTTTGGCCCCAACAGTGCCCAAGCTTTTGACCATGAATTCGCTTGAAGCACGGAAGAGTTAGGGTCGCAGGCATTTAGGGCATGATCCCAGCCCGCGATCTCTCTCAATCAATGCAAGTGGACCATGGCAAATGCATCTTTTCTGTTTGGCTCTGATTTCGGATGGCCGGGCTTTGGGGTCTCTGTCAGGGACAGTGACAGGGTTCGAAGTGGTTTCCCACAGGTCAATGCCAATTGCAAAGTGGAGCCGTTGGTTTTGGAGGATGGTGTTTCTTTTTGAGCTTATTGGAGCCACAAATTATACGAATTGAAGTTGAGGTTGCTGAAGGGGGCGTCGATTTCGCGCCTTCCCACTCTCAAGGCTGTTTGGCTGTTGGTTTCAACTAGGGCCGCGTTCCGTATGTTCTTCAGGCCTTTCGGGGCAAGTGCAACGGTGATTTTAGGCACTCCGGGCCCTTCTGCCCCTGGCGCCCTGACGCGCGGCACTTCGGCACCGTGTCCCAGCGGATCCTCATCTCCGAGGCACGGACGCGGAAGATGCACTTCTTCCAGCGGTCCACCAATGTGCCCCAGGAGGGCGGGGGACCTCCACTCACGGGGCCCTGGCAAGAGCCGCCGGGCAAAAACGGCGATGGCTTTGAGAAGCTTTTGGTGGCTTCTATATCTATACCTATACACAGTATACATATGTAAAACTTATGCACATGCATACATGTACGCACATATAGATCACTGTGTTTTGTTAGGTGTATATACACATGTGCACATATATTTATTTTCACTTATGATTTGTGTAGATATCACATAACGGGGCAGGGCAATGCTTACAGATGTTCACCATCCCCCCCCGATCGGAACAATATATTTTGGCTTGCCTGAAGTGTTCTCCGCCACCCTTGGGGTTTCGTGTCGAGGTTCAAGATCTCCTGGGATGCGGCGCCGGCACGGGGGTACGCCGACTGCCAACGGCCGGCCGCGGGCGATCAGAGCAAATCCTGAGCTGTTGAGCACGCCATCGGCCGTGAGCAGCAGCGACGATGTTTGTTTTCTTCTCTTGCTCTGGGACATCAACCAAATTGAACCACCCAAAGACAACAAAAAGTGCGGTTCGGGAGAGAGGGCACTGCGGGTTTGGGCTGGCCTGAGAGGGTGAGGAGTCTCAGCTGTCGGCCAAAAAGCAGCGCAAGAGTCGCTCTGGCTGCTGTGCTTCGAAAAGTGGCTCCTCTGAACGCCTGGCTCCAGGGCACAGACTCTAGGAATTGACCCGTCCAGGGGCTAAAATATTTGAGTGCACTTGCCACGATGCAATTTGCACTTGCGCAGCTTGGGTGCCGGCAAATACCAGCCGAGGCACAATATAGTTAAGATTTCAGAAGCACCAGGGATTTTCAGCAGTCTTCGCAGGCATCCTTGCCATGTCGGCCGACATGTACGTTTCAGCTGGGTTTCAGGTTGAAAGGGTAAGCATACCGAGAGTTCCCCAAACAAAGATCACCATTTTGTCCACCCGTGAATCGATGCACGGGGTATAAGGAACACTGCGTAGCTGTGAGTTGTGAATCCTGATGGCAGGTCACGGGGGACCTCGGCCTGACGCAGGCCACTGCTCAACAGGAGGGTGAGCGCGCTAAGCATTTGGTCCTCAATGGGGACGCAGAGCAGGCTGGGGCCAGCAGGAGAGTTTCGCATCAAGTCTTTCAAGCATTCGGGCCACAGGAGTGATTTGAAAAGTAGACCCACAGGAAGCGAGTCACTGAGATGGGACTGTGCTTGTTTTTGGCACAGGGACACAAACAAGTCCTGAGAACTGCAGCTGTAAGTTTGGCGGCGGATTTGCCAGGCCGCCGTGGCCGGCACAGAGGCGGCCAATGGTGCCGGGTTGGCCGCTGCCAACTCTGAGGGCCTCGTGGGCGCGGGCGCGGGCCTCGCCGGTACCGTGGCGGCCGGCGCGGGCGCAGCCAACGTCCGGGCGGGCACCGCCTTCGACTCTGGCGACGGCGCGGACGCCGCCGCGGAGGCGGAGGCGGCACTGCGCGGCGCGGGCACGGGCGAGGGCGGCGTCGCGCTCACGGACGGCGTCGAGGGCGAGGGCGGCGCGCTGGACCAAAGCGCTACGAAGTTGGGTGCATCGGCGGGCACCGGCGAGGGCAACAAAAACAACTTCTTGGCCACGGGCTTAGTGAGAGTCGTTTTCGTTCTGTGCGTGTCGCGCGCAGGAAGCAAAGTAAACGCATGTTTGTTGGACTTTGTTGGGCCGGTATTGTGTCCAACGTGAAGAATGCACGGAGCAAGCATGCCTGCGCTCAGGAGGCAAGATTGATTTGACCAATCTAGCTGGGGAAGGGGGGCCACCTTCCCTGAGAGGTCCAGCCATGCCCTCTGGCCATGGCCATTTTCTAGGCTGAGACCTTCTCCTGGTTCAGCGTCATTCGGGTGCTAAATGTTCAATGTTTTCTCTTTTCCGACTTCCCCCAAGCAGACCCAAAGGTGTGGACATATCTGAGAACATCTCCCAGATCCAGAGAAGTTGCCCGGACAGGTTTAGGTGGGTTCCCCAAGTTGTCACATATGTTCATTGGGTTGTTCCAAATCAATCCTAAGCCCTGTTGCCAGACGCCGAGTCGCGGTGTCCCTCTCGAGCAATTTTGAACTGGCCAGTTTACCAACCATTGCTTTAGGTGGACGCCGCCCTCATCGCGGCCGCGGTGCTTGCTCTGCTAGCTTGCTGCACGATGGCCTACATGTGCATGAATGGAAAGACGGGCTTGGGGCTGGGGTGGCTAACCTAGGCTTGCCCCTTTTTGGCCTAATCATCAAAACAGGGAAGCCAAACCAGTTGGAAGAGGGCCTCTGATTGTGACATTGGTACATTGGTAACGTTTTGTCCTGGCTGTGCCTCTCTGAAAGGGGGTTGGAGGCACCGCACCCCGTGAAGTGTTTGCCACATGCTTCTTGGACCGGGCAATGGCGTGAGTTTCGCGATCCCTGGTTAAAGCACGAGCAGGTGTTTCCGTGTCTCCTACCGGCTGCTTCGTTTCCCTTTACGCACCCAACAGCTATTCGGGCCCGTGTCCAAAAAGGGCACCGCTCTAGAGAAGCATACGTGTTCTGTGTCCAAATGTCTGCAACGAAGCTTCTCCAGCGCGCCCTCCAGGAAGTCGAAGAAGGCGAAGACCACCCGGCACCTCAAGGTCCAGCGCGAGGTAGGGCTCTCAGGACTTGAAGCATGGCGGGTCACAGAAGCCTTTGGCAGGGCCAAGGGTGCGGACCCCAGGTCCGCACCAGAAAGCTAAGAAAATCGATGGATGCATATGGATACCCTTTGCATGGAGGGGGCTCAGCAATTCGGCTTCTGATTTAAGCAACGAGCCTTTCAAAAAGCCAGGGGTTCCAGGGCAGTCTCCGCAGTTTTGGCTCGCGAGCCTCTCGCAGCCCTTGCCTGCACAATCCATTCATGATGAAGCTTTGGCTCCTGCTGGCAAGATGTGCGATCGCTGCGATCGCCAAGCGCATCGACAAGCCGCAGGAGGCCCGAGATGCGCTGGCTTGGGCTTAGATAGCCGCGGCCCACCCTCCCCAAGCCGACTGCAGATGGCGAAATTGTGGCAACTATCACTATGGTTATTTGCAGATGTGATGTGAGCGTCGGCCCCCCCTTTGCTGCCCCGAGTGCGTTGTAGTCAGGCATTTCAGCTGGCTCCTGTGCTGCGGGCCATGCCATCCGTTGTTGGCATAATTTGAAGTACCTTCTGTTGGAAGTACTTCTCTTGGAGGCAGCCTTATTGTTTTTGTTTGGCCGTGCTTGGCCAAGTGTTTCGCTTGAAAGGGCTTTGAAGCTAGAAGGATTGGGCCCTGCCATGTTTGGCAACGCGGGCAGCTAACCAGGTCTTGGTGCCTGAGAACAGAGAGGACGGGGGGGTTTAAGGGGCCAGGGGCCTTCGGAGACAGTCATTTGGGCCGGCGTCGTTTCCCTTCGCAGCTGACTTCGGATTCCCATGTGTAACGAGCATGAACGAGCCATAGCTCCATAAGCCCATGGCAGATGAGGTGGTGCAGGACTGCTTCAAATCAACTGGGTGATGTCCTTTTTGACTGCGAACTCTTTGGCCTGCCAGTGTTTGAATGTGTTTGACGGGGCCTGGGGCAGGTGCTGTCTTCAACTTCGGCTGGAGAAGCAATTGTTTGGAAAAGGTGTTGGGTTGAAATAGCAAGCCCCTCATATTTCTTAAAGAGTTCCTTGCCACACCCCCCCAAACCAAGCAAATACCAGCAACCAGAGGGTTGCCAGATTGAACAGTTACAGGTTCTTTGGACAGGCTGCCTTTTATCTCTTGAACAGATGCACTGCAATGAGAGATTGAAACACGGCACCGGTGCGTGCCCCTGTACAAGGAACAACTTGAAGAGGGGACACCGGTTCTACCCTCCGAATGGATCCTTCAAGCTTTCAGGAGCCCATCCTCCAGGACATTGGGCTCGATGAGGACGGCATGCGGCGGCTGATGCAGGGCGAGCCTTTGGAGCGAATCCTGCCGTGCCCTGGTGGAAAGACGGACGACAGCTGACGCGCAGGCCAGTTCGGGCATCCCTTTCCTAGCTCCCCGAGGCAGGTGAGCTTCGCAGTCCAACAAACCCAAGGGCTTTCTGAAGGAATGGATTTGCGACTGTGCTGTTGCCTCAATTCGCATAGCTTCTACTCCAAGTGGTCAAAGTCATGCAGGCTGAGCCGGAAGTGCCCAATTTATTTCCTTCCGTAGGCAAGCGCACCATTTTGCAGATAGCGCTAGCACGTGCTGGCAACAAATCTGGCTTCGCCGCCGCAGGCCGTGCTGCATCACATGGAATGTAAAACCTACCCGGCCCCGGCCCCCCCCAGAAGGCCAAACCTCGGATTAAAGGTAGTCTGCGGGATTGAGGGCGCATCCAGAAATTTGCTGCAATTGAGATAGAATTGAGCTCGAATTGCGGTCCCCGAGGCCTGGGTCAGAGTTTTCTCGGATCCCGAAAACGCGCCGTGGGAATGGATGACATTTAATCCAATGATGTCCAATGTCAACATGATTTGCCGCCACTTCGGAATGGGTGAGCGATTGGGGTGAGAGGCTAGCAGCCATGTGGCAAGCAGGTGCATTGCCATGCACAGCCGGCAGTGGTACAGATGCCCCAACAAAGGCTCCAAAAAACAAACATGCTGCAGTAAAAGCCGGAAGCGGAGATTCGCAGAGAGGCTGCTTTCAATGGCCAGCGCGTCAGAGGAAGCCAGAATTCCTCTTGTTTGTTTTGTTTTGGGGGGAGGGCGGGGGCTCAACTCCTTTGGGATCCATCCAGCTAGCGTCGAGCAACTGCGAGTTTGAGAGGTGGCTGAACCGAGGATGAGCTTCCAAGAGGTTGACCCCTACTTCCCTGTGCAATGGTCAAAGCGCTTGGTGAACAAAGGCCTCCTGGGCAGAGGTGGCGGTGGCACTGTCTTCAAGTGTCAGGCCAGGAATCTGATCGTAAAACTGCTTTTCGCGTAGATCTACCAAGGGGATGGCATGGGGATCGCATACTGTACAGGATTATCACAAGTGAACAAGAGTAACTCACCACCTTTCCATGTGAATTGAGGCCACAGCGATAAATTTGTCTTGCCATGCTGCGCAAAGCCTTCCCGCCACGCCGCCTTTTGGCGTCTTTTGGCTGATGTGTTTCGCCGGGCGATGTACGTCCTACTGCATGCTGTTTTTGCGGAAGGAATTGCTGGGCCTATTAAGGCCATGTTGCAAGCACGCAACGTTGGATAGTGGAAAACTTGTGTTTGGCACCACGAGGTTTTGGTGTTAGTTGTGTGCGGCTGCTTGGCTGGCTCATGTAGTCACTTGAATTCCTTTACTGCAACCCAGATGACAAACATAAAGGTGGCGATACTTTGCGACAGGTTTTTCCCAACCTAGTATGTAGCACTAAGGGTTTCTTCGGTAAGAGTTAAGGCTGTTTTAGAGCAAGGGTTGGCAGTTATCGCACAAAACTTGGCTTCGACGCGACGCTCGCACGAAATGTGCCTTCGCTCTCGCTGTGTTGCCGTGCCAATTTTACATATGTCTTTGATGTGTTGTGGCTGGCCCACGGCGGGAGAAGATGTTGAAAATTGTCGAAGGACCAAGGACAAAGTCGAGTGATTCCAGAAGACCATTGCTGCAAGTTGTAGCATGTTTTGGCTGCGTAAGATCTGTGGGTAAACTGTCGCTGTTCGAGCTCGAACAATGCTGCGGGGGGTCTCTTGCCTGGATTATTTGTTTATCCCATATTGCCGCACAGGTGAAGTGCAACACTTCAGAGCCGGTTTTTGTCACGGTCAAGCTGATGACTGGCTTGACCAAGAAGCTCGAGGTCTCAGTCACCCGGCAGATGTACGGTGTCTCAGAATATCTGGTTTCCACAATTGGGGCTCCCGACTACGTGCAGAATAACATGGGGGTGTGGATGATGCTGCCGTACCTGAACGGCGGCGATGCTTGGAGCAGTTTGATGTACAACCATAAGCAGCTGCGCTGATGGGCTTGCATGCGTGAGATGCTGTACGTTTCTCAAGCTTCAGAACTTCAGGGTGTGTGCTTGGGCTGAGGACATGTTCAATCTTATCCAAGATTGCCGAAAGAAGCAGGAATGCGTCTGTGGACAGCGCCTCTGCTGGACTGGCCTTGAGAAGGTGGACGGCCTCCACACGGTCACTGTGCTAAACATGATGAAAAGCCTGTGCGGCTGGACTGATGGATCATGACTTGATCATGTGCGGGCGCGCACGCACACGCACAGCCACAGACACAGAATAAGACACACACCCAGACACACAGAGACGCGCAACTTTAACTCATCTAGCCTGATTCAGTGGATTATTGTCACTGAGTGGAAAAAGTCAAACATATTCAACAAAGGATCACGCCCTGCGAAAGCTTCCTTTTTTGGGGGTGAATTCAACGGTGTTTCAAGCACTGCCCACCCCCGTCCTTTGCAGGCCTTATGACCTGCCCATTCTCTGCGGTTGAGTCATCGCCCTCCCTCAAGCTGGCCCGCCGCTATCTTCACTTGCTACAGCGTTTGGGTTCCGGTGGCTGGACGTCGGGGCAACAGGCCACTTCGCTTTGCTGAGGTGTTGGGGCTTTTCTTCGAGGTGGTGCGGGGGGTGAGGGCCCTGCACCAGAAGGGCTATGTGCATTTGGACCTGAAGCCCGGCAACGTCATGCTGCAGTGCAGTGGAGCCTCGGAGGCTCAAAAAGGCGGAAAAGAGTCGGGGTGACTCTTAGCTCTGTTACCCTGGCCTTCTCACAAGGAAGGCCCCATGAAAGCCTGCTTAAAACCTAATCCCCAACAATCAGCGGATTGAACACTACCCAGCAGAAGGTTTCGAATCCAGAACAAGGATTAAGCGGATGACGGATTGCGATTCGGCCGCAATGGGTCTTGAACAAGCTAGCTTAGTAAATAGGATGGTCACTTTTGGAATTATTGGTCCAACTGCCGTTGCTCTATAATGGAGGCTTCCATCAGACCAGCCCAGGGCCTGGTTGCTATGCACAAGTCATCGACCTCGGCTTGGCCAGACGCATGGGGGAACACATCGAGGCTCTGGGCACAGCCGGCTACACAGCACCAGAGGCGGGCACTGCAGGCCGCCCCTTCAACCGAGGCTGTGCCACGATTCGCTTTTTTGCGCTTGTGGCTCGAAGGCCCTTGAATGGACTCAGGAAAGCAACAGAAGGTGCGCACTTTCATGTCGAGGCTCAGTATGGTTGATATTCATGGTTCTCGGCTGCTTTCTGTTTGCCCAGCTTCGCCAGTTTCGGGACTTCATACATGGTTGGGCTCGAGAACGAGACGCTTCAAAAACGTCAGGCTTTGTACTACTCTGCCCACCCAGAGCCTGGCCGCTTGCTGCTCCGCAAATCTTTCACAATCCTGCTGGTTGCCCGCCTTGCCCGTGCAGCATGCTGCGCTCATTTATCAGATCTCATGCTAGCTGCTTCAGAATTCTCCACGCGCTGGCGGCTTCTAAATTGTCAATGTTGTTGATGCTCATGTTCAATGGTGATTTGCTAGTGCTTGTCGTTTGGCCTCTCTTATGCCTGGAAAGCCGTATGGCCATTTTTTCGGACGGAACCCGTATTTGGATCGTTTTTCCCGTCTGGTCATTTTTGTTCCAGGCCGGTGGCCGTATTTGGCCGTATGCAACCCGTATTTTTCAACATGTTGACAAAAGCACGGAAATGACAGCATGGCCATCGTTCTGTGGCCCAAGCCGTGTGGACGAAAAAAACGACACATATGAGTTTCCAGGTAGGGTTATTGCTGCAAACCAATAGGCTGCTAGATGCAAGCTTGGCCACGGAATGCGCTAGAAGTGAGAATCGTCCGGACCATCGCAGCCCGCTGACATTGTTTCGCGGGTTTCCTTTGCGCCACACTCATGTTTGTGAGTCTTCATGCCAAAAGAACACAAGGATCTAGTTTGTGCGGAGATTCTTGCTAGACGTGGCTTTCTTGACGCAAGCTTCCTCTTCTCAGCAGAGCGCAGGTTCATCAAGGCACCACGGCAGACCCCGCCAATGACGTTTTCTCCTTGGGCAGCTTCCTCTACCAACTTCTCTACCCAAAGAGGCCAGGCGGTGGCCGTTCGGAGGTTGGAACACCCGAAGCTAAGTTCCTTGTCGTGATATCCTTGCCTTGCGACGGAAACATGCGAGCACCGCTACCTGCCAAAGCTGATGCTTCTGCCCGGTTGCCAACATTTGGCTTGAGTGCCGGCGGCTATGCATTCTTGACGCAGGCCTCCCTTTGCGGACGACCACCTAGGCGTGATGACCAGGAACTATGACCCACTCAAGGACTTTGGGATCTCTATATATGCGTCGGCTCACCGTTTCTGTTTCATTATTCATGCTTGCCTGCGTGGTCTATAATGGAGGGGGCTGCAGCCAGCTCACGCGCACCACCCATCAGTTATCAGTAGGGCTTTCAGCATGGTGCAGCCGATTTGTCAGGCCATGGGTTTGCTATGTGCCGTCGTCATAGGCGAGCATGTCACATGCGTCAGTAGGCGTGGATGCTTGCCGCTCAGAACGAATTCAAGCATGTGTTGAGCAAGAGCTGGAGGACGAAACAATCGTACGCCCCCTGACAGAGCTGGACGAATTGCTCATTTTGATGCTTCAGCCAGAACCGGAGGTGAGGATTGAGATTTCGTGCCTGGGCTGGATCCTGGGTTTCGGTAATAGGTGAACGCTGATGCGAGAACGTCAAGCAGCTTGCAGGGTGTGTTTCTCAGCCTCCCATTGTACCGGCCCTTCTCCTGTTCGAGGCCTGCCCCTGATCCGCGTGGGTTGCAATATATTTCAAATTATCCCAATATATTTCACGGAGGTGGAACATTGATCCGCCTCCATGCAACATCCCAACCTGAAGGGCCCCGCTAATTGAGGAGAAACGGGTTGCATGGATTTTCCGATACCCCGACCATTGCCCGAGGCTTGTAGAGCAACGGCTGGGCAGCATCATCCAAAAGGGCAGCGAAGCGCTGGCCCAGGAAGGGTCTCTCAAAATTGTGGATTCCGTTTGGCTGGTGTTTAAAGGGAAGCCAAAACAAATCAATATAGAGCCCCCGCACCATATTTTGAGAAACACCCAGGAGATGATCAGCAAGGAGCCTTCCCAGCGCGGTCTAGTGACGCCGGTCCCTTCCTGCGCCCCGGTCACCATGGGCCCGGGGGGTATGGAGGGAGTTTGGCTTACAGGGGCGCCACACAGCAGCAAAACCCATTCAACTCTCCATGCATCTCGCCATTCAGTTTTCGGATCTAGCAAAGCTTACTATGGTTTTTGTCACTGTTCCTAGTGGCTTGCTCCCTGGTGCTGGAGGTTTATTCCACTACGAGAACAGCAGCGACGTCAAGGATATCGGCAGTTCCACCTTCAACGAATTGGACTGCGGAGAGGTGCCACGGAGAGAGCCTCAGTTCAACCATCATTCGCAAAAGGCGTACTAGGAGGCGCCTGGGGAACGCGCGATCGAGGGTCCCTCAACACAAACATTGGACTGCCAGCAGCCTCAGGTCTCATTGCCGTTCGGGGAGGGTATCGCGTGGGGGTCGTTTCCAGCGATAGTATCGAGGGGAACCATTGACTGTCCATGAAACATGGGTCATCCCCGGGACGCTCAGGAGTGGGCCTTTTGGCATTGCGAGGTGTGCCTCTTCTGCCCGCCCTGCTGTTCCTGCCCTGTGCTGCGTCACGGCACCTTCAGGGTGCAGCACTTCCTCTCGCACACCTGCGCATGAAAGCCCCCGTTGCTGGCCAGGTTGAGAGCCAAAGCGCAACCGGTAGCATCATTTTGCATTTCTAAGGGTCCCACGCATCCCAATCTTTGGAAGTTTGCCCATGTTTTTCACTGAAACCTCGCGCCAATGCTGCGTGGCCGATGCACCTGGAGTACAAAGCAGTGGACATGTTTGCCGCTGCACCCAGCTCAGCCGGCGTCTTTTAAAGAGGCTGAAACGAGACAGTCGCTGTAAAAAGAGCAGGGGAGCGGACATCCAGCTAGTGGCCAGCCTTCTGCCGGATCCGCCGTGCAAGGTGGAAGACGAAGAACAGCAGCCGCTGATGGCTTCTGCTGAGGCACGGCAGAGAACATTTGCAGTGCTTTTTGTCGGCACTTGTTGGGCATGTGTTTGCACTGGTTGCGACCTAGCCCGGGCTGGGTGAACACAGCGTCCGACCTATTCAAACCGCAAAATATAGATCAATATGTAGCCGGAGAGCGATATCCGATATGCTGTGACACTCGCACTCCATACTGGAAGGGTCAAGCATTGCAGTTGCATAGCCGTGTGAGCAGCTTTCCTTCACATGAGACGACGCTGAGATGGGGAAAGTAGCAAGTAATTTTCAAGAAAAGGGCCTGCAAGATGAAACTTGGGGGAGAGGTGGCTTGGGTCAGTCCAGCAAGAGGCAAGCGGTGCATGTTTTGTTTGTGAACTTTACAAGGTGGTTTTTGTTTTGCTCACGGTCAAGCAATGTGGACTGTGTTTCTTTCAGGCCCCTCGCAAGCGAATTTCCTAGAATCAGATTTGGGGCATCCCCGGCTGTCATCAGTTTGTCCTTTTTGGTCTCGGTCTTTTCCGTTTAGTATTGGTGTAGTCGGGGTTTGTAACTGCTTCGTAGTGGGAAGTCCTGGCTTGTTATTGGCTTGGTTTTTAGATTCGTGGTTGGTGTAGTATTGCCTCATACTGCTTAAGTATTGGTTTAGTACTGCTGATTATTGCTGCAAGTACTGCCATGAGTTGTTTTCCATGTCGTCCCGGAAATATGTACATTTGCTTGGGCGGCTGTTTTAGCCAGGTTGTCTTTTGCTCAGGGCTGGGGGGGAAGCATTAGTTTTTTCGCGACCCTCGGTTTAGCAGCCGCGCAGCCAGCCTTCGGTTTCGTTGGCGTAACACGGTTCAAAAGAGTTTTTGTTATCTCCCCTGTTCTTCTCTCCTGTTCTTCTCCGGGTCCGTGAATAGTTTGGGTCAGCTTGTTTGCATTGGCTGATCATTTGCGAATTGCTGTCCAACAGCCCAAGAGAGAGAAAGAAAGACTAGAGAGAGAGAGAGAGAGAGAGAGAGCCCAACGAATCAGGTAACTTGTTTTCTCCCCGCACGGAGTCCCTCAACAGGAGGAGACCCGGAGCTGCCATGTCGTTGCTCAATGTACCCAAGGGGCCAAGCAACAGTGAAGTGAGACTTGCGTTTTGTCTTGAGCTGGTTTGGCCTGGATGCCCTTTCGCGTAATTTCGCCGCCAAACTGAGCCCCCTTCAAATGCGGCTCACCCGGTGGCCGGGCCGCTGACGCAGGTCAAGACGGGCGCGTCCACACGTAGCGGCACCGAGCCGAACCCGGGCGCTGGTCACGCCGGCGGGGCCTGGCAGATGGCATCTATGGCACCGACTCCCACCCCTCAGTTTAACATGCATCTTGGAGCGAACAGGTTGGTCGGTATGCCAAGCTTGCCAAGGCACATCAAGGCACCATGCCCGCGACAGGACACAGGCAAGCAGGCATTAAACAGTGTCTGACTTTCTTGTGGTTTGTGTCGGTTGAAGAGCGCGCAGCAGAGCATAGCACACCTGCATACGCCGTGCACTGCTTGATAGCTCCCGAATTTCTACAGTTATGTGCAACTTGTCATGGGAACTTGAGACGAGGTATGCCGCCCAGCCAATTCGCACCCAGCAGCAACCGATGAGCACAATGAGTGCTGTCCCCATCACCACTGCTGCACCTTTGAGCAGTCGTGCCGCCGTGCCGATGCAGACGGGCTCCGTATCCATGCGGAGCGCTGGCATGCTGACACCTCCAGCCCCAGCACCCAACATGGGCACAGCCTACCGTCTTGCCAGCCCCAATCCTCCAGCCTATCCAGTCAAGAGTGGCTACATCGTCGCTTGCCTGAATTTGGCTGCATCGTGTGCCCACCTGGGCCCTGGGATGTGTCCAGCTGGATTTCAGGGAGACGTGCGTGAATTGAGGTCGAAGGCTCTACCCTGCCACCGGCCGAGCCAACGGCTGGGACCCAGGGCGTGCAGATCACAACTACTAGCTGTGGCCTAAGGATGGGTTTGGTTTGTGGCTGTGTGTGATTGTGCGGAAGTGTGTCTTTGTGCTTTTGTGTCATCCATACCCCCCAACAAATGAAACACGCCCCCCCTCTGAGAGCAAAAAGCAACGGAGAGCGGATGTATTTAGGCTTCAGAGAGTGGCCACTGATTAGGGTCGAGCCAAGGTTTCAACCAGCCAAGCCTCGGGCCCATACTCGTGCAAGGCGAGGCGTGATTCTTTGAGAGATGTGCCTTGAGAGTACCCAGTCTAGTTGTTTGTTTGTCTTAATGAGCAACCAAAGGGGCATACGCCATCTTTTGGAGCTTCTCCTTCTCAAGACGGACCTAGATGTCAAGGCGGTTCAGGTTCCGCTGCTCTGCTTGACGTGTGCGTCTTTATTTAGCCATCCTAGAATGGAATCGAAATTCCCCTAGTCCTGCACCGATGAATTGCTGCCCCCGCCTACGGTCGGTCTGAAACTTGCAGCTGCCCAAAGCATGACACGTGACCCGCCCGAACTCGAACTCGAACTCCCCGCGAAAAACATGCAGCGCACGCTGGACGTGGGGCCTGTGAGTAATGCCAGGGCAGGTTTGCTTTGGGTGCCTCTTTGTCTTCAGACAGTTTGCCCATCTTTTGCAGATGTTTGGAGATGACCTTCAGGTTGCGGCTCTTTTGATGTAAGTTTCATTCAGAGCTTCAACTCTCCGGAAGCGCCTCGTCCCTGTCCGATGCCAGAACAGCAGATGCCGACGGGCCAGACCCCAGTGATGGCCTCCTTGAACGTGGGCCACGAGGTTCGGCAGATTACCTACTTGGCGCCTTGTCTGGCTGCTGGCTGCTTCAGCCGATCTCAATTTCGGAGACACTCCAGAGAGCCACTCTGTTCAGGGGCGGTTCCCTTTCAGAGGAATCGATGTTTCGGGGAGATTTGCTTTCTTAATTACGTTAGTCCTTCACATTGATCCAAAGTCAACTTTAAGTGCAGGGATGGATTAAAGCGTGACTTCTTCGGGGAGGCTCTCCAACGGCACCACTGCCAGAATACCCACGGAAAGGGCCACATTCAGGAAGTTCAGCTTGGAGGAAGTTCCACGGGGTGATAAATTGAGGGGGGATGAACCTAACAAAGACCTGAGAATTAACATGACCCCTCCCAGATACGAAGACCATGGAACTTGACAAGAAGGCCCTTTAGAGCCTCCACGGCTCCATGTGTTTTTTTTAGCTGAGGAGTGGCACCAGGCTTGGCGCCCGGGACTGCCCCGCGACGTGGTGTTCACCATCCCAGAGGGCGCCCAGGAGGGGGCACCCTTGATCGTGGAGGCCAGGGTTTGTGGGGGGGGTGGTGCAGCTACAAAATAAATCAAAGGGGACTGTAAAAGAAACCGGAAAACGGACTTTGTCTTATCATCTTAGTGGGCTGAAACCTTGTTTTTTTTTTTGGGGGGGAAGCGTCAATAAGCTGTTTCGGGGTACTCGCGGGGCGACTTTGGAAATGGTAAAGTACAATGAGGCGGGGGGGGGCTCGGAGGCCGACCTGGCAGGAGGCAGAATGACACAGGGCAGACCACAGTGGACGACCGGTTGGTGAAAGCTGGCAAACGTTGCAGCCCATGCCATGTGGTCATAGCTCCAACTCACCACGAGCGCTTGTTTGTGGCAGGTAGAGCCTGGCATTGTCGTGCCAACGACGGTGCCTCAAGGCCTTGAGCGGGCGTGGGGTGACAAAGGCAAGGAGAGGTAGCCAAGTTGAATGTGAATGGAAAGGGTGATTAAAGTCTAGTAGGCCCAAGAAATGAACTGTATTCCCTACTCTCGCAGCCACAGGAATCACTCTCCTACAGGGGCTTTTGCTCATCCTAGGCTTCCTCGGGCGTTTTTAAATGTGCTCTGGGGAAAGGACGTTTCCGGGAACTCGAGGAACGTTTTTGGGAAGGGCTCTTGGGTCTCTAACCTTGGGCCCGCCAGGTTCACCTGCTCATGACCTGCATGGCCCACATGTTGCAGCGGAAGTGGTTTCATCACTACTTCATTCAAGCCAAGTTTCCAAGTTTCAAACGAAACGCACAGTATACAAAAAAACACAGGCGATTTCCCGCCGATGTCTACTTCAGAAGAAAAACAGGGGCGCAAACAAACCGTAGACAACCCGTACTCAACCCATAGAAAGGGCCTTTTTCCCGTAGAACGCACGTTCCTTTTTTTGGCGTAGAACGCACGTTTTTGTTTGGCGTAGAAAGGACATTTCCTGGCACCCCCCCGGAAGAGCAAATTGACACGGGAATCATCGGGAATTGTTCCACGCGCCCCGCACCGTGATTTCCAGCATCAGTGGCAACGAACATCATTTGCTTGCGATCTCACAACTTACTCATTCATGGTAGTCAGTCAGGAAAGGAAGTGTGTGAAAAGCAGTGCTCAGTACGCACACGCGGACGAAAAGCGCTCCAAAAGGGGTGAAAGGGCATATGAACGTGCCTTGTAGCCCCAAAATGTGCTGTGGACCTATAAATGTGCTTTATCACAAACGACATTTGTTTTTGCTTATGTGCTTTGGAATTCGAGGGTGTGGGACAATTGGTTTGCATGCTGCAGGTGCTTGATCTATTGTGCTGCAATTGTTGGCCTGAGCTTGCATTGGCAGCAAAGTGTGGTGTTTGCCGGGAGACGGGTGCCTTGAACAGCGAGCTACAAGGCGAGTCACCCAACAAGCTGAATTGTGAACTGGCCGCAAGACTCCATTTCGGCATTTGTCCAAAATTGACAGGCAGAGCCTTGACACAGCTGGCTTGTGATGCCAAGAATGCTGAGCGAAGAAGGGTTGCAGCCTTTTGGGCGAAGTGGCCCTTCCTCATGTCTTGGGCCTGCGGTCTTTCGCCCGTGCCAGGCGCTTACTCTGGTGCTCTGGCATGTCTGCAGCGCTAAGTCCGCGCGTTGGTGCGCTGGGGGATCACTGGCGGCCGTTGGGAAATGCACGACGGCTGCCTGTAAATTGAGGGGTTTTCTCCCGCAGGCTGGGAGCCACTCAGTGGGAGGATGCTCGGCGGTTGAAGGACTTGTTCATGTCAGATGTGGACTCAAAGCCACCATGTCGGGCAGGATGTTAAGCCATTTGATCATGCCCACTTCCCTTGGGTGGTTGAACTTGGAGTACTGCTCGTGATGAAGCAGCGTCCTATATGGCAGCAAAATGGCGTCCTAGACTGCAGACGTTCACAAGTACCTGTGTATTTGTATGTATATATATATATGTGTGTGTGTGTATCCTGGCAACAATATACATGTCTCTACCTTGTACAGAAATACTATACATAAACCATCATATACATCTGTATATGTGTATATATACACATACTCAAAAGTGTTATTTCACACGTGTCTGCGTGTGCGAAGGAAAACGTATGGCTAAAGGGTCTTGGACGCCAAATGCTGCCCGTCGGCTGAGCCCGTGACTTCAAAGCTCGGAGGGCTTTCTCCAAAGTGGGACTGGCCTGTAGGTTTTTCTGCCTGGTTGCTGGGTCTGCCTGATTTGTTCGGCGTGTTAGCAAGTAGAAGGCAATTAGTTGAAGCCTTCCAACCAGGGCCAGTGAGCTCACCAGAGGTCACTGGAATTTGGACTGGCGGTTTCTGGCTCGAAAAAGGCAGGGTGCCTCGAAAGCGCGTTGGCTGAACTGCACGAAGGTACTTCATCTTGTTTTCGGAGGCGCGTGGACTTTGAAACTCTAGGATGGTGTTCAAGGGCGACCCCACGGAGAACAATCAGTTGTGAGAGGGCCCTAGTTTCGCACGGCACCATGCCCCGCATGAGGCGCGTGACATGGAAGCTCTTGAGGTAGACCTGGGACATCACACCACCCACAGGGAAGGGCCATCTCACAATCAAACGATGAAGCCCGAAGGCAAACTGTCATTTATGCCCATAAACGTGCCATGGAGTCAAGCACGCTCGCTTTAATAGGTGGTCAGCCTCCCGCAAGCCATGGCCTTCAGTGCGCGGAAGGACTGGTTCGCGGAGCTCTTTGGCTTCCCGGAGGCGTTGGAGCGTCAACTTGGCCCAGGGGGTTTGCGGCAGACGTGTTTACAGTTCGGACTTATGCTTGTCGTTGGGGATCTTTGGTATTTCGTTATTTGTTTGCGTTCTTGATGGCGGTTGGGGAATACATGCCATGCATATTTTCTCCCCGGCAGGGCGAGTATGACATCACCAAGAGACAGCTGCAAGTGGAAGAAGACCCCGCAGATCCAGGTATGAAAATCATGAAGGGGCCGAACGGGCGGCCTGGCATTCGTAAGGTTGGGCGGGACCAGGAAAAAGCCTTCATGGCCATCCTCAATAGGACCAGGGCCTTCAGCGCCTATAGGACAAGCTTTTTGCCGTTGAAAGCGAAGAAACCACGGTTCATTTTGCGGCTCTGATGACCCTGCTGGCTTTCTTTCTGCCGCTTTTTTGGATTGACTTATCAACATTGACATCACTTACTTCAGTCTTGGGCTTGGGTTGGCGGCGGCTTCGGGGCTTCTGCAGGTTGCAGCATGCCGTCAATTGAACACCTGATCCAAGGTCACCAAGGTTCACTAAATTCTAAAGAAAAGCAAGACCGGTCCAATGAATCCATTGAATCCATTTCAATTCCTATTTCGCTGTTCCCGAAGCCGACCTTCGGCAACGCGCTGCCCGCCAAAAGGCGCACCTTTCGCGCGGGCCGCTTCAGCACGCCCAGCCTGGCGGAGCTCCGGGCGTGCCCGGAGTGCGCAGCGGCGGTGAAAGGGAAGCTGCGGGTGACCAACGTGATAGGGGACGTAGCGGCCAAGCAGCTCGATTGATTCGTTGGAATGCGGGGATTGTGTCAAAGAGATGAGTTTGGGATGGTTTTTGCAAGCGATGGTTTTCGAAAACTAACGTTCTGGGGGCCCTACAGTACACCCTACAGTGAAGGTTCGACACGACCATTTCTGCCCCACTCCCCCGATGAATTGCAGGACCTCAAGCCTTGTAATTACACCGTCAGGCTGCCAGAGATTTTCCTGAATTGTAGATGACCCGTCGGTTCAGTGCGTTGCGGATGTTGACTCATCATTGCTTCAGAATGGTCACTGTCAAGGGCCCGTCAGGCGTCAGGATCTGCGCTGAGGGTAGTGCGTCCATTTCACCCTCCCATGTCACCTTCCTGTTGCGTGGGTTGTTACAGTTGCGCTTGAGCCATTTTGCCAAGGAGGCATGCGCCATTGGCACCAGGTGCCTGGACGATGTTTGCATGACAACTTGCATACCAGTGAACAACGTAAGGCAGGGTGTTGCTGCTGAGCATCCACTCCCAAAGAGGCATCGATACTTCCAAGCAAGGCATTTGGATGCTGTTGACCATGTAGCGTTTGTCGTGTTTTTTGAGGGTTGCGGGGGCGTGAGGTGTTATATGGTGTTTACTGGGGTAGGTTTAGGATGCATGACTTTCATTTTCACGGCAGGCAAGCGAGTTGGTACACAAAGAGATTACTGAGATTCCAAGAGGGCTGTTACGCGGCCAAGCATCCTAACATCCGAGGACAGTGTGTCAGGGGCTTTGGGGCATAAGACCCCAAACCAGCCCAAAGATCTTAAAGTCAGCCCAAAGCCCACCCAACGGTATTCCAAGACCCGCCTCAAGCCAAGCCAAACCCGACCAAAGTCAAGCCGAAACCACCAGTCAGCTGCCTGGATACCAGCCCATTGCGAAGCCCAAATGAAGCCCAAACCAACCCAACACCCGCCCTCATTAAGTTCTCAGGAAGCCTAAAGCTCACCCCAAACCAGCCCGTCGCCAGAAACCACCGCGATAGAACAATCAGCCCAAGAAAGAAACGCTATCTTCTATCATTGGGCGGGTCGCGGCAGCAGCGGGGTTTGTAGCTAACAGCTCGCTATGCAGGAGATGCTGGCCCTCACACGTCTGAGGTTGGCCGATCGGGAGAACCGCCACGCCACCTTCCAGGTAGCCTCGCAGTTCAACTGCTTGGAGTTTGTGGGCCCCTCCGTGACGCCGGAGCACGGCATCACAGGCGGGGCATGACAGGCGATTCGCAGCCAGGGCGTGTGGCTTGCATGGAACGAGTCCAGCAGTCTCCAAATTTCGAAGTTGGGCTACAGCACTACGGGTGTGCGTGAGCAACTATATATTCGTAATTCAATAGTGTTGGATTCGAACGGATGTATCTATGGACATGTGACATGCTATGTTCTCGTTGCACTCCAACTTTATCGGTGGCTGATGGCAACATATGGCAGCAACAGCGCAAGCGGACATATTTTTTGCCATGGTCAGGAAGGCGGACACCTCGTTTGAGACGGGTTGCGCCAAAAGTGAAGGCCCACTTGGTCGTTTGAGGCCCTTGCAGTGCTCACCTCCCGCCCGAGTTTGCTGGCCAGCAGTTGTTTCCCTGGAGGGCAATCCAAAACAAATGGTTGAAGTACTGAAGGAGGTTGAACGGTCGTGTTTCCCTATGGAGGCCAGTCCAGGGGAAGGCTTTGCCTTTCTAGACTTTAGCTATTGCTTGGCCGGACTCGCTCTCGCTCACCCTTGAGGCTATGTCATGGACCGCACCCAGGGCCCCGCCTGCTCCATTGCCTGCGGCCCCGCGACTGCCTTCAGGAACTACTTCGCGCCCGTTCGGCGGCCTGATGGCAAGTGGACGGAGGCGGCCTGCAGCTGAGCCATGGCAATGCGACACCAAATCAGCGAACACACCCAGCGGCTGTTTGCCAGCGGTGGTTGCGAACCCTGTGGCCATCCTTAGCCATGGGCAATGCTTGAATATGACAGGCGCACTATGACCACCGGCTCTAGGCAACAAGCGATGTATCTTGATACAGGAGCATGCTTATGGATATTGTGATGTCGCAGGCCCACTTACATGCATGCATGCATGCACACATGCGCACACACACACAGGCACACACACACACAGAGACACAGACACACACACACACACAGACACACAGACACACAGACACACAGACACACACACACACACACACACACACACACACACACACACACACACACACACACACACACACACACACACACACACACACACACACACACACACACACACACACACACACACACACACACACACACACACACACACACACACACACACACACACACACACACACACACACACACACACACACACACACACACACACACACACACACACACACACAGCCACCCACCCACCCACCCACCCGCACGCACGCACGCACGCACGCACGCACGCACGCACGCGCGCGCGCGCGCGCGCACGCGCACACGCACACGCACACGCACACGCCGCACACACACACACACCCCCACACACACACACACACACACCCATGCACGCACGCACGCACGCATGGGGGGTGGCTGCAGCCTCACTTGGATGTTATGATATTATCAGTTCCGCGCCAGGGCCAGCGCAAAGAGCTGCAGATCGAGAATTTGGAGGACCTGTCTGCTGAGCTCTGCCAGATCCTCGGGCCAGACGTTTGGCACTTCTTGCTGCTCGAAGGGTCGAAGAGCTGTAGTCAGGCTTTGTGGCACGTACTTAATGTTTACTCCTGGTGACTAAGCCTCTGAACCCGATCGTCTCTGGTCCTCCCCGGCCCTCTTCATTCCTCCCTGCCTGGCCAATAGGAGGGCAACGGGAGAGTGAAATGGTTTTTAGGAGGAGGCTAGCCTTGAAGGAGGGTACCCATTGAGAAAGATGTTTGCCGCTTTCGGTTTGTGTTGTGCGGTTTGTGAAAACAATTAGTCTGCTTTGGGCTGCGCATCCAACCCGGTGTACTGGAGAACAATTGGGTAGAAGTATTTGGCAATGGCCGTTGTGTTTTTCATTTGTCTTGTTGGGGCCAAGCGGACAGTTTTTATTAGGAGGGGGCTTTGCTGGGTACTGAAAAATGGATCGCATCCTTTGTTGGCCAAACCTTGTGGGTCCCTTTAAAGTAGCACTGGGTTTATGAATCAGGGGTCGGCGTTGGCCGGTTAGCCAAGAAGCCGAGGGTGGCCCGGGATTGTGGCGGACATAGCGTCAGCGCCAGTCCACGCATTTTGTCTAGGATGCGCGCGACACCTGGAGACAAGTTGGGCGTGGCCCCCTTCTTCCAGGTCCGTGGAGGCTACAGTGAAGCGGACTCAGGGCAGCTGAAGAGGCAGGGCGCCTCAATTGGAAAAAGTCCGTGACATGTCAACGTCGCTTGCTGTAAAGGGTCTTCTCACTCCGGCTCTGTTGTCAACCTGCGTTTGCTTGGGGCGCTGCTTGTGCTTCAGCTTGTTGAAGGGTGCAAAGTCGAAGGGCCAACGACATGTGTTCCACCAAGCCATTTTTGTCAGCAGGCCAGAATCAGCTTGTAGAAGCGAGTGTCAACATGGCCATGTTGTTTTGAGAGAGAACTAAGCCGGTGAGGCTCAATGCATTTCTGGAAACGCTCGGTGAAGATGGCCTGGATCGCTTGAGGTGGGGCTGGGAAGCGCGAGATGTGGCAACAGGCGAATGATCGCCAACCCTTGCTAAACAGCATGTGAGGAACTCTGCATGTTCAGTCAGCTGCAAGTGCTTCTCAATGATTAGCAGCAGCAGGCGGAAAGTGCTGTTTGTTTTTATTCTTGAGCATCCCGGGCCCAGAGCCATCACATGCACCTTCCCTTGCGAGGAGCAAGCTGCGCATCGGCGTCCACGCAGACGTAGAGGTCACCTCCATGGCTTGGGGCGCGAAGCTACTGAATAACCCGGATCAGCTGGTTACGCAGGCGGGGCATTTGCCCTCGGACTCCAAAAGCAAAATGGGCTACTACGACCATCACCCAATGCCTGCCTGTGCCAAAGAAAATGCGCCAACACCCAAAAATAAACACCCCCCCCCCCCACACACAAAAAGAAAAACACCAACCCGTCTACATGCGTGTGCGCGAGCACGTTTGAGCAGGTGCGCACAAGCAGAGACACACACACACACAGACAGGCGCGCACACACGAACGCGCGCGCGCGAACACAATCTCACACACACACAAACACAATCTCACACACACAACACAACGCGCAACACACAACACGCAACACGCAACGCACATTACACACACACACACCCAACATCCAACACGCAACACCCAACACACAGCACACAGCACACACACACACACAGCACACAAGGCACAGAAGACAGAACACAGCGCACAACACACAATGCACAACACACAAAGCACAAAAGACACAGCGCAACACACAACACTCAACACACACAGCACACAACGCACAGCACAACACACACACACACAACGCAAAATACGAATACGTAACTCATAGCACATAACACACAAGACAACCAAACATCACAAAACACGCAACACAGAACACAAAGCACACAAACGCAAACACACAAACGCAATCACACACACACACAGACACACACACACACACCACACACACACACACACACACCCACCCACCCACCCACCCACCCACCCACCCACCCACCCACCCACCCACCCACCCACCCACCCACCCACCCACCCACCCACCCACCCACCCACCCACCCACCCACCCACCCACCCACCCACCCACCCACACCACACGCACGCACGCACGCACGCACGCACGCACGCACGCAGCACGCACGCGCACGCACGCACGCACGCACCCACGCACCCACCCACGCACGCACGCACCACGCACGCACGCACGCACGCACGCACGCACGCACGCACGCACGCACGCACGCACGCACGCACGCACTACGCACGCACGCACGCACGCACGCACGCACGCACGCACGCAACGCACGCACGCACGCACGCACGCACGCACGCACGCACGCACGCACGCACGCACGCAACGCAACGCACGCACGCACGCACGCACGCACGCACGCACGCACGCACGCACGCACGCACGCACGCACGCACGCACGCACGCACGCACGCACGCACGCACGCACGCACGCACGCACGCACGCACGCACGCACGCACGCACGCACGCACGCACGCACACTCACACCCACACACACACACACACGCGCACACGCGCACGCGCACACGCGCACGCGCACACGCGCGCACACACACGCACCCACGCACGCACGCACGCACCCACACACACACACACAAGCGCTCGCATGTACACACACACACGCACAGGCACAAACACATCAACGTCGAGAAGAACAATTGGCATGCAACCACACGCGCAAACAACAGCACAAACACACAGACATACCACAATACAACGCAGCAAGCAGCACAGCACAACGCTCAGGTCTTCGGCTCCGCCTGCGCGGTGGGCTATAGCCGGGCACCTCGGGCCTTAGGTTGGCATGGCTTGGCTGCCACGTAGCAGCAGCCACGAAGGGATACCAAAGGGCAGAAGACGCAACACCTCCCCCAGGCTGTGTGCGACTGCATCAAGAGGTTTGGCTTGCGTGTTTTGTCAAGCAACACCCTGCAGCTTTGTTGGCGCGGAACTGTTGGCGTCTCACCTCGCCCACCTGGTTCTGAAACATAAGCACATTGCTCCTTCTTGATTCGCGTTAACAGCTAGCGGCAGGCGCACCTCCCCCAGAAGGATCTCTCTTTTTTTCTTTCTCTCTCTCTCTCTCTGTGTTTGTGTTTGGTTTGTGTTTGTGTGTTTTGGTTGTGGTGGTGTTTGTGTATGTGTGTTTTGTTGTGTTGTGTCGTATTTGCTTCTTTGTGTGTTTGTTAGCTTTTTGCTTGGTTGCTTGCTGTTTGTTGGTTGGTGTTTTGGGTTTGCGTGTTTGCGTGTTTCTGTTTGTGTGTTTGTGTGTTTGTGTGTTTGTGTGTTTGTGTGTTTGTGTGTTTGTGTGTTGTTGCAGCAGCTGCTGCTGCTGCTGCTGCTGCTGCTGTTGTTGTTGTTGTTGTTGTTGTTGTTGTTGTTGTTGTTGTTGTTGTTGTTGTTGTTGTTGTTGTTGTTGTT